ATCATTGATAGCTCAATATGGCATGTTCTGTCGCTTTATTAGGAGTTTATGGTTTGACCTTATGCATGATAATAATCTGTTTATGTCTCATTGTATGAAATCAAAAGTGAAATATGAAGAGCACTGCCTGGGATTTCTGACCTAGAGTTCACTGATTCCGTAGGATTGGCTACAAGGAAAAGACAAAAACTGAGCAGGTGAAATGCTCTTACAGAACTGGACCGGGCAGTCGCAGGGACTCGGAACGTAACGACACAGGCAAGTGTGAACTAAAGATAAAGATCTACACTCGGCATATCTGGACCTCACCTGAACACGTAAGGGTTTCACAGATTTTGCAAGCTGGATTTACATGCCTCTGTCAGGCAGAAAATCACAGAAAATCTGGAGAAGACGGCGGAGGATTTTGAAACAAATGTATGTATTTTTCTGATTTTTATACAAATATATTGTCCTCAAGAGCTGATACGCCCCACTTAAAGTTGCACCAGGCAACATTCTTCACAGGAAACAGTCCCGTTTCCAAAAAAAATTAAGTCGATGAACTTGGATCCGTCAATTCTCTAACTCTATAAAAAGACCAAAACAAGAACTTAAGAGTAAATATTTTCCAAGCAGTGTTTTTCAAATTGTGGTCTAGGGACCACTAGGATCTCTGCAAAAGATCAAACCACAGTTGGGAAAATTATGGCAAGATTGAAATAAAGAACTAAAATCTACACATAGAGATTTCAGTTCATGTAACCATATAAAAAAAAACTGGAGAAAAGGAAAGTAATAAAGAAATGTCCAAAGTTTCCCTTAGTCAATTAGGGGAGCCTTCTATTAATAATGTTAAAGAATAATTTTTTTTTGAACTAAAATATATACAATTCTACAGTTTTGTGGTCGGTGTTTTCACAGGTGCCCAAGCATCACAGACTCCTTCCCTCTGCCAAATTCAATCCTGAAACAGGAGCAATAGCTGCAATAGTACAAGAAAAACAAACAACCAGTTTTGGAGATGAAGAGAACTAGTTGACTGAAAACTGAAAGGGAGAGAAAGGAGAAGTTAGACTGAGATCACAATTTGATAGAGTTTATAGATCTAACTGTAATTTTAAAGCCATGGCTCTCTTCATAGAAAACCATTTAAAGTCTCCCTTTTTGCATGGCAGGTGAAAGATCTAAAAAATAAAAATAAAATGGTGAAAAAAGGGTACCTGCTGCTATCTTACACATTTCTATACAAACCACAAGTAAGGGGAAAAAAATGCTTAGAGGTTCAAGAAAGTATGTAGGGCGAAGTTAATAAAGGGAAATAGGAAAGCTGTATAATGATTATCCCATGTCTACTTCTTTGCTAGACTTATTCATGAGAAGCTGGAGTCTATATTCCATGTTTATATCTGTGTGCCTATGATGCCAAAAACTCTGCTACTCAATATATGCACCAATCTAACATGTGTCACACCTCTAACACCTACAAGATTGCTATCCCACAGACTTCGGAGACTAGGCCTCCCAAATCCTCCCAAACTGCATAAGACAATAAAAGTCCTTGTGCAGATTAAATGGACTGGACTTGCAGCAATTACTGCGCAGAGCGTATTTTTCCACCATAGGAAATTGCTATTCCACATGGAACTTTGGCAGGCACAGATGCTCCTGCATTTTTCAAATCATGCAAAAGGAGAAGACTGAAGATTGCAGAACTGAAAATAGGTGAAGAGAGATTTTCACCATAATAGGAAGTCTGGAGCAGCTGAGTACAGTCCTGGGACTTCAGGTCAATTGCTGGGGAGATGCTGGTGGTTAGATGACAATCACGTGGGACTGTCACAATGTATAGGGTTTCCCTGTCTCTGCAGAGTGTGCTTGGATAGCAGTAAGATCAGACATAGCAAATAAAACTAGGTTAAGGAGAAGGGAACAAGAAAAAGAAGAAAGAAAAGAATGTGCTGGGCTTGCTTGAGGAGTCTTTCTCCTAATCAAGTTGGAAGAAGGGCCAAGAGAAATAGGAAATGCTTACCCATGAACCCTGACGTCACCAGCAATTTAGTACAAAAATCTGTTACTTTTGTAATAAAGAGTACAAAAAACTCCAGCATTTTTCTGCCACTTCCTGCGTTTTAACTTTCACTGTAGTTCTCATCTCTTGACCATTGCTGGTAATAAAAGCTCAGCGCTCTGCAGTGGCAGATTTTTTTTTTCTTGTGTGTGGTTAGCACATTTTGGGTGCTAACTGCAGTAGAAAACAATACCAGATAATGGAAATAACAGCATAAGCAGGTAGGTATGAATTGCTGCACGTAGGCACACAAAAAACTTATTCAGAAGAGGTGTGAAGACTGACTTGGTATGGCCTTTAATTAAACTATGGTAACATCGTATTTTTTGTTTCATACCTTTTGTAAGACATAAGAAAAAACTTTGAAGGAAACCGTCTACACACATCATAAAACCAGTTTGTTACATGCATATATCCTAGACATTTCACATTTACTTTACAATGTTGGTTGGTTTGGTTTTTTGTTTTTTTTTTTTTTTTGGGGGGGGGCCTTGGATTTAGTTTTTGTTTGTTCGTTTTTAACATTTCCTGTTAT